ATAAAATATTATTAAATGTCTATTACTTATTTATAAATAATATAAAATATTTTCTTATATAATTATTTAAATTGATAGAAATTTGATTTTACATTAAAATATATTCATTTGTTTATCATAATTGAAATTAAAATACGTGAAGTGGAATAGGTTTCACATTGTTAATTTATTTATTTAAATAATATTGTTTATTTATTCTATTCTGTTTTATTTAATCTCCGATTGTTTTTTTTAATCCTCTTTTACTATGATATTTCTATTTTTTTTCTCTTTTTTTTTTTTTATCATTGATATCGTGTTACAAAAATATGACGTAGGAAAAAAAAAATGTGATAAGAACTTTTGTCAGATTGATTGAACATTAGTTGAAGTAGAAGTGTGTTTTTTCTGTCTATGGTTCAGTCACAGTTTAATAAAAATTCGTCCTTCTATAGAACTATTAAAATTTATAACATAGAATGATAGATAAAGTAGAAAGAGAAAGAAATAGAAATAGTGTGTAAGCGGAAATTGAACAAACAGGTGTGCGACAGAACTATGGATAAATAATCTATGCTTTATATGCTCGTGTGTTTCAGTAGAAATGAATTTCTCTTTTCTCTTTTCTCTCTCTTTCTCTCGTGTTCTTTTTTTATTCACCTCTTTCCATTTCCTTTAACTATTTATTTTTCTATGTTATTTTTTGTTCTTTTTTTTTCTATTTTTTCATATTGCCCCACTTTCGTGTAATATTCGTTCGATGTTCGATAGTCGTACGAGAAAAAGAAAAAATAAAAGTCTATCCTAAATCGTAAAAGAAAAAAAAAAACACGTACGTTTTAGTATCTTGCAACAGATCAATTTTATTTTTTTTTTTTTTGATTATCAATATAATCTTTTGATTAATAAATTAATAAAATTTTATCTAGATATTATCGTGAGTAAAAATATTAATTAAAGATAATTGAAATTGAATAAATAATGAAATGATATCTAATTTAAAATGAGGTAGAAATAAAGAAAATTATTTTACATTAGAATATTGATATATAAATAATTAAAAAAATATAAATAAATGTATTTTAATAAAAATATATAATATTTATAATAAATAGTATTATTGTATAGGGAATGAAGAATATTGGGGGAAAGAATTTAAATATAAAAATAAAATAAGAGACAAATCAATTGGGTGATGTTAAATTGAATTTAAAAAACGGAAAAGAAAATAAATAAATAAATAAATAAATAAATAAATTTAAATAAAATATAAATAAATCCTAAAATATCAAATATATTCAATCCAATATAATTAGAAATAAAAATTAAATTAAATGAAAAATATAACAAAATATAATTAAATATAATTGATATATAAATAAAATATTAAATATATATTCCATTTTACCTAAGTTTCCCTTTTAGTCGCCTCTTACGACAAGCAGGGATTACTGAGGGGGTAATTCTACCCCGCCACCCTCACGGGGGAAATTATTAAATATAATAAACCTAATAATTAAAATAAATAAAATTAAATCAAACAAAATATAATTAAATCTAACTCATACATAATAAATATTAAATATATTAAATATCCAATAATTTTAATACATATAAATTACGTGTCACGTTGTTTGTCCTCAATGGACTCCTAAATTACTGAACCGATTTTAATCAAATTGTCCACACTGTATGCAATTTCATCCAACTTGAAAGATAGGATAGTTAATATCTCAATTTATAATAGCAATATTATTTTATTAACAAATAATCATGATTATCTCTCTTAGTTCGATAAGATTCTAACAGATAGCGGTATAAGGTAATTCGTTGACTTAAAGACATGTGTATCAGACTGATTGTGATACATAAACTCTTATATATCAAATATCCTAATCCAATAATTAAAAATAAAATGAATTTACTCAAAAATGCATTATTAATTGAAAAATACAAATAAAGGAAAATATAATGTGAAGTAATTATTCTTGTTGTTCATTATTACAGTCGATGTAACATTCATCGTGGATATCATCATCAATTTTCGCACGACATTTGTCAACAATAACGATGAGGTGGTGTCGCATCCTGTAAAGATAGCCGTCCATTACTTGAAGGGTTGGTTCATCATCGACTTGGTGGCCGCAATACCCTTCGACCTTCTACTAGTTGGCTCCGATACGGATGAGGTGAGTTTTTATATTTTGCACGGTTATATACATATATATATATAATATATATATACATATACATAAAGAAAAAAAAATATATATATATATATATATTATACTTATACTTTTATCGGAAAGATATTTTCTATAGTCGAGTTCGATCCCGAGGGTGCGCGCGCATAAAAACGAAACTTCTCTTTACGTTTTTAAAATCAAATATTCAAATTATTCTTCTCGTCTATATTTTTTTCTGGTTTTCTTTTTTTTTTTTTTATACTCCAACCCCAAAACCAACCTCCCCCATCTTCTAATCTTCTATCTTCTATCTTCACGGGGTTTGTGTATTTGTTTTTTGTTTTGTTTTGTTTTGTTTTGTTTTTTTGTTCTAATACATTTGTTATATTCTTTTTTTTTTTTAATTAGGGTGAATTTCAAATTATATTCGTGCATTGATTGTGTAATAAATTTTTTGTTTTCTTATTATTATTATTAAAATTTTGCTTTAAAAAATTATTTCATTTAAATAAAAAAAAAAAAAATAAAAATATTGCACGAAGGTTCTTGTTTTTTTTTGTGTTTCACACTAATAATAAATATATTCGTGCATTGGTTGGTATCGTAATTTGTTTTATTGTAAAAATTTTGCTTTGAAAAAATTATTTCATTTAAATTAAAAAAAAAAAAAAAAAAAAAAAAAAA